TGTCAAGAAAAACAGTGCCCTAATCTTATCCAGATCCTTCAGTTTCTGCTGAAATAATTACTGAGGCTTAGCATGGGCCGTTGCAAAATGCATAGGCTGCTAGATTTGCCTGCATAATTGCCATGCTGCACCTTGGCCAAATGGTTGTTTGTAAAACAGTTTTGTCACTAATAGAAAAGACACTATTTAAAAGCAGTTCCTATTACCTTCTAATAAAATTTTCCATCTGAATTTTAAGTCTGCAATTGCTGACTACCTCCTTAAACATTTACAGGTAATAATGTTACATGTTCTTCCGACTAATATATATAATTGCTTTTTATCAAGCAGGGCTTGGTAGTGGTAGAAGTAGTATGATTTACTGGCCTCCAGCAATCAGTTAATTTCCTGCTGGTTACTTAAGGCATGTGCAGCTTTGGTTTGTTCCAGCATAAGTTATTACCTTGCTGATAAAGGATAAATACCTCATAAATAGATTCTCTAAATAACTTCACAGTGCTGCTGAGTGATGAGAATAAATATGTGGAGAAAATTCTAGCTGTATGTCACAGAGTTATCCCTAGATCTAAGTCCGTGATGGGGGGAGGCATAGGCATGGGGAAAAAAAAGGAGACAAAAGAGCAAAGAATAAAAAAAAAGAAAGAAAGAAAAAAAAGAAAGGGGTACAAACAGTTTGCTGCACGATCTGGCCTGCCTGGGCCTCGCAGCAAGGCGCACTGAGGGCCCCACATTCTTGGAGACGGGAAAGGGCAGAGAGCTAGCAGATGGGTTCAGCAAAAGAAACACAACGGGAACAATCTGTGGAGGAACGGTAATTTATAAATCTAGCAAAGTCAAACAAAATGAAAGAGAGATCAGAGCGCCCAAAGTGCAAGTCCCCAGGGTAGTGCAAGGGAAGCAAGTGCCCTTCTTTGCAGCGAGCCTAGCGGGAGTCCCTGTGGGAAAGCTGCTGGGTCCTGTCAGAGGCCATCTATCTTCCTCTGCCCGCCAGGTCCTCCAGGAATGCTGCCCCTCCCCTCGCATCAGAATACTCAAAATGCCTATAAGAGGCAGTAAATGGAACCAGAACATAAACTCTTTAACTCCCAATGTTCTGATGTGGAATACTGACAACAAAAAATTACCAAATCACAACAGTATGTAAGGCAACTGTTTTAATTTGAGATATCAAATAGTAGCCCTATCTCTGTGTGAACAACATATAACTATCATAGACCTGTTGTCAGGCACCTTTAGGTCAGAGAGTCTCAGTATTTTACATGTACCAGTCTGAATGAATGCTGATTTTTTTTCTTTATTCATAATACCCAGTTTGTTCTGGGTTTTGATGATACGATGTTAAGCTCATAAACTTGGATGTAGTATTAGGTCAGGCATAACTTCTGGTGAGTCCATTCAGATAAAGAGAGTTCTGGTTATCTTTGAGTAACTCAGACATTTTTTCTCTTGGCTGTCTCATCTTCTTGCAAGTCATAAGCCACTCATTTGTTTAAAATGTGAGAGAATATTTTAAAAATCACTGTCCTTAGAAGGAGAAGGCTGTGTGTCTGTGTGGCTAATCTCAGAATCACAGAATCACAGAATGGCCAGGGTTGGAAGGGACCTCAAGGATCATGAATCTCTGGTGGCCACATGCAGGGTCACCAACTTCCACATTTAATACCAGACCAGGCTGCCCAGGGCCCCATCCAATCTGGCCTTGAACACATCCAGGGACAGGGCATCCACAGCCTCTCTGGGCAGCTGTTCCAGCACCTCACCACTCTCTCCGTAAAGAATTTCCCCCTGACATCCAACCTGAATCTTCCCTCCCTCAGCTTAAAACCATTTCCCCTTGTCCTGCAGTTATCTACCCTTTCAAAGAGTTGATTCCCCTCCTGTTTGTAGGCTCCCTTTAGGTACTGAAAGGCTGCAATGAGGTCACCCCGCAGCCTTCTTTTCTCCAGGCTGAACAAGCCCAGCTCCCACAGCCTGTCTTCGTAGGGGAGGTGCTCCAGTCCCCTGATCATCTTTGTGGCTCTCCTCTGGACCCTCTCCAACAGCTCCCTGTCTTTCTTGTACTGGGGACTCCACACTTGGACGCAGTACTGCAGATGGGGCTTCACAAGAGCAGAGTAGAGGGGAACAATCATCTCCCTGTCCCTGCTGGCCACCCCTCTTTTGATGGAGCCCAGGATACCTTTTGCCTTCCGAGCCACAAGGGCACACTGCTGGCTCATATTAAGATTTTCATCCATCAAGACCCCCAGGTCCTTCTCCACGGGGCTGCTCTCAAGGACCGCTCCTTCCAGTCTGTAGGGATGCCTGGGATTCCTCCGGCCCAAGTGCAAAACTGCACTTTGCCATGTTGAACCTCATCATGTTCGCCCAGGCCCACCTTTCTAGCCTCTTGATGTCCCTTCTAAGGAAGTATGGATTAGGCAGCTTAAATTCCTGGAGTTAGAAAATAATTTTTCTTCAGACTTTTTATGGTTTTGATTACAATGAATGTCTCAAGTGATGTATTGCTTTTATAGTGTGAGGGGAGAGAAGAGACTTTGTAATGGTTAGGTCCTAAGCCTTGCTTAGATGCATTATACCTGCAGTTTCCGCTATAAGCTCAAGTGAGAGAACTTTAAAGGCTCCAGTCAAACACAGGAGAGGAAAATTATGTTCTTCTTGTCTGATGATGTTAATATTCATCATCAAGAACCATTGTAAGCAGCTGGACAGCAATTGTAACTTAGAAATTATTTCATCTGTGTCATGGCTTTATGATTTTTGGTTATCGGTATTCCACATCATAACATCATGGAGTGCACTGGGAGTTAAGGTATTAATGCTCCATTTCCGGGCACCTGTCCAGAAGAGAAGAATTACACACCCCAGGGGGCTTCGCAGTCAGAGAGGAGATATAACCCCTGGCAAGGTCACCTGATGTTCTCTTTCTTCATCAGGCTCTCCTCCCTGCTGCTCAACTGGACTGCTCATCTCGCCTCAGTGTTATGGTGAGGCCTATCCACCTTTTGGACACTCTCTCTTGTTATATTTGATTTATTAGCTTCAATGCTAATTGTACTGTGTTATAGTGTGCTATCTTGCATTCCGATACTGTATTTAGAAAATTAGTTTGTTTCTCCTCAGATCGTTACCACTGTTTTTAATTATTTTGGGGGCCCCTGTTTCCCTTTTCCAGAGATGCAGATTTTGTGAAATCCTCCCGCCCCACTAGTCACAGAACTGGGCTGAACGAGCCCGTAAACCATTGACATTCTGATAAGATATGTCAGGATCAAATCTGCTTGACTTTGCCTGGTTAATACGGTTGTGCTTGGTGGCTGGAAGGAATGGGAAAAGTAGAGCAAGGAGACAAATAAGAGCATAATCTGCACAAAGAAACTGAAAACATTAGTGCTTACAGTAGCGATCACTGTAATTATATGGATATGAGTATAGATGTGGATAAGAAAGAATAGGTCTTGTTGGAGCAGGAGTATTGATAGAAAAGATGCTGAGAAGTTTCGTGCTAGTTCTTCAGCCATAGAGAGTTTTGTTGTCTGCAGGAAAGAAGCTGCTGTACCCCAACCTACCCATGTGATGGATAGCAGCTTTTGTGCCACTTTGCCTTTGTTTCTTTTTTTCCAAGAATCCTGAGCCAAGGTTGCATTGTACTGGGTAGTGGTTTTAACACAAGGAACATTCCCTGTGTTGGGAATTCAGCAGACAAATAAAAAGGAGTGGCTTAAAGAGGATATTAGATACAGAAGTGCAGTCAGATGAACTCTGTTGTCCAAATTTGTATAGTCTGGCAAAGATGATTACTAAGCTAGAGAGGTAGGCCAGATATCCTACTGAATGAGTACCAAGAGGAAAAATGAGAGGCCATTCCGAGTGAGAAACTGACACCAAAGGAAAATAGCTTTAGTTGAAATATGAATTCTCAGTGGCAGAAAGTACCTGATCTGATTATTTATGACTTTTTTCCCCAAACTTTGGGAGGCTGTTCCTTTTCTTTGATTCTCCTTGATTTTTTCCTCACCTTTTCACTACCAGCTCCCAAATACTCCAACTTTCATCCCTCTCTGATATACTAACCCATCTCTCTGCTCTCAGGACTGTAAGGGATGCTCTGCACTAGTGCGCACTGCAGTTATCTGACCTGTGCATCTCTGAACAGAGCTGATAAAGACTGTTATTGTCATGGTCATTTTCAGTCTTAATTACCTTATCATATATAAAAGTTCTTGTCTAAGAACTGCAGGTTAGCTGAATTATCCTTAATGGACATGCTCATGAATAAAATACACGCATTTATATCTGATTATATAGTGATAGCATTAGAATACTTTTTTCTAAAATCTTTTTTCTAAAATGTAAATAGAGGAACCAAAATTCAAAGGCACATCTGTATTTGTTTAAATCAACTGGAATTAGTGATGCATGCTCTTTGCAGACACAAGTTGTGTAAGCAGTGAAAATGATTGTGGTTTTATTTCTTTTGTACCAGGATCCTTCAAGATTTAGTGTTCAGTGTTAGCCGTTTTATTTCAGATAATTCAAACAGTCTGTAGAGCAGTCTGGGAACTGTAGTGGAATTATCACTTTTGGTGCCATTTGGGGGATAGTAAATAGCATTTATAATGCCCTACCTCTTTTTTGCTAGTTTTTATGCAAGTCTTTAGTAACTTTTTGGCTGAAGGAGGACTGTTAGATAAAAGGTTCAAGTTTCAGTTTCTTTAGACAAATATATGCCCGTATGTGGCGGATGCTTCCTGTTCAGATTTTGAATACTTGCCCTCCCATTCATTTAAAGCTGAATGAGCACTAGGTTAGACAGAAAGCAGCTATTTGGAAAGTGCAGTGACATAGTTGGATGAAGATTGGCATTTGGCTGATAAAAGCCATTAATTTTTTTTTTTTTTTTTTTTTTTGAGAAAGAAGAGTCAAGGCAAATCACAGAAGTGGTTAGGATTTTTTATTTAAAATGAACATATATTGATGCTCTCTTTCTTCACTTGCAGCTGCACTGAGAGCTTGTGCTGATGGAGGTGCTAATCGTCTCTACCACATCACAGAAGGAAATCAGGACAGGTATGTTAATAATAAACATGAACTCATGAAAGTCATATTTTTTAAATAAAAGTAAAATGTTGGGGATGGGATCTGTTCAGTCAGTGAAGCAGCTGTCTGCTTTATACATGGTACTTCAACAAACTGGCCATGTGGTAGCAGTGAACATAACCTGAACTCCCTGGAGAGGTATGTATATGCTCAACTACTGATAAAAGGCCAAATTAGTGTGTTTTACTAGTTTTCAGTTATGAATGTATTTTCATATCCAAAAGATGGCTGATATTTCCTTTAGTAACTTTTAACTTCTGCTCAGGTCCTCTGAAGGTGAAGCTTATTTGACACATGTAGTGTAAAGGATTGAATAGGTGGGAACGAAACGATCAGCTAGAGCTGAATTCAAACTATTGCTTCTTCCTTGAAAACTACCGTTGTGTTTAAGGACAGAAAACAATGGAGCACTCTCAACCATAACTGTCATTTCATTTTGAATGACAGCTAGTGAGGAAGCAGCTGTGAGAGTCACGTAGTGGCAGGCAGTGGAATGCTTTTTCTGCTTTATCTTTGTGTATCTAATTGCTTTTCCCGGCAGTAAGTATTAAAAATACACAAGCAGCCTAAAACACCCTATTTTCTTAAGCCCAGCGGTCTTTATTCCTCTGGTTTATAGCTCAGCTTTCAATCTGTCTCATTTTAGGCCTCCATCAGAGCTAAGGCTTTGCAGCAACCTCTTGAAAAACTTACTGTGCTTCTGGGAGAGGTTGACAAGGACCATCTGATGCCTCTCACCAAGGGCTGAAACAAACTGTCCTCTTTATTCCTTACAGAAAATCTGCTTGCATTTGTGAAGTGGAATGAGTAATAAAATAGGCTGTCTACTTTTTCTTTTAAATTATTTCTGTATTAATGGCAGGACATCATATATGATTAAAGGCAAGTACAGAAATTATATAGACTTGTATATGTTAGGTGAGGAAATAGATCTGAAGGAGGAATAGTGCTTGTTTCCTAATGGCGTTTGAATCCATAAAATCCTGGGTTTCTGCCCCAGAAGTGTTTATGCAGCTGGTTTTATGGTGCAAAATAGCTGCATTCCAGTGGTTTCTCATTTTCTAGTGGAACCATCAAGCACAGTGTAATTCCGGGTTGCTAAGCACCCATTGTTACTTGTCCTTAGGATTTTCAGTTTTTGTGAGCAAGGATTCATGGATAAGTAGTTTAATAAATACAGTAATTACAGCTGACTCTCAGAGTAAACAGGTGAGACGAAACTTACAAATTTATGAACTTTTTTATTCATACAGCAGGACCTGGCACATATTTGCCAATAGTTGAACAACCAAATGTATGAGGGAGGACAGGAGAAGCTTGTTTTCTTCTTGCCCTTCACAGCAAAGTTGAGCTAGAAGGAAAGACTGTAGCATTCAAGTGGGAGTTAACTTTGAATTTCTTCCTTTGTCATCTGTGAAAAGTTAGATGTGTGAGACTGCTGATACTCGGACGGGAATCTGTCAAGCATTACTAACTGTTGTGTGTATTGCCCATGTCTCTTCTACTGCTTGTTTGCAGAGCCGTTTATGCACACCTTAAATCTAGAATACAGACAGAAATCTGACTTGCAGCAAGTAGTTCTCTGATAATGGTGATTCTTTTCAAAGAGACACAAAGGCAGTGATGAGGCAGTGTTAGAAATTTAACTTCTCTTGTAACCCATTCATCTCTTCTGCAAACCTTTATATTCTTATTGAATATAATTCAGGGAAAATTTGATTATTATACCTTGATTGAATAGTTCTTTCAGTCTTACATACTTGGCCCTTGGACTATTTTTCTTTTTTCTTTTCATGTTAATTGCTTGGGGTAGTGGATATATTTTACCTTCAAAGTGATTCCTATGAAATAAAAAACCTGCTATGAAATAGAGGAGAAAAATAAAGACTTGCATAATTTTAATTTCTGTCCTCAAAGAAATCATTCTGCTGGAAAGAATATTCATTTACTTCTCTGAAGTAATTTCCTTTAAATTCCCTGGCTAGTACTAAAGGACTGGGTGCACAGACTCTACTGATATTTTAATCTTTTTTTTTTTTAATGCTGCCATAACCTTCTATTTAAAACTGTTTTATTCAAAACATTGATTGCTAACTGTGCTTTATCAAGACCGAAGAACTATAGTCCTTTAATTTTAGGGATGTTATTTAATGGAAGAGGTTTGAGTAAAGAACTTAACTGATATTTTGGGCTCAGCGACACCTGAAGTGTCTTTCTTCTATTCTAACAGTGTGAAGAATCTTTTAAAGATTCTCTTTCCTTTCCTCTAACCCTCTGCTGAATCATGTCTCTGGGCACCACATCCAAACAGTTCTCAAACACATCCAGGGATGTTGACTCAACCACCTCCCTGGGGAGCCCATTCCAGTGCTTAACAACCCTTTCTTGGGTTGTTAAAGTAAAGAAGTGTTTCCTAATATCCAACATAAACTTACCCTGGCTCAACTTAAGGCCATTTCCCCTTGTACTTTCACCTGTCAGCAGTGAGAAGAGACCAACCCTGCTCTAACCATATTGAAAGTGAGCAATAAGGTCTCCACTCAGCCTCCTTTTCCCCAGAGTAGACAGCCCCAGTTCCTTCGGTCTCTCCGCATAGGGCATATTCTCCACGCCCTTCTCAAGCCTTGTTGCCCTTCTTTGGACCTGCTCCAGAATCTCAATGTCCTTTCTGGACTGAGGTGTCCCAAACTGAACGCAGTACTCGAGGTGAGGCCTCACCAGTGCCAAGTACAGAGGCAGGATTACTTCCCTAGTCCTACTTATCTCACAGTTTCTGATCCAAGCTAGGATGCCATTGGTCTACTTGGCCACCTGGGCACACTGCTGGCTCTATTCAGCCACCTGTCCATCAGTACACCAAGGTCCCTTTCCATCAGGCAGCTTTCCAGCCAGTCTTCCCTAAGCCTGTAGGGTTGCCTGGGGTTTTTGTGACCAAAATCCCAACACTTGGCCCTATTGAAACTCATACAGTTAACCTTGGCCCATCAATCCAGTCTATCCAGGTCCCTCTGTAATGCCTTTCTCCCCTCAGGCAGGTCTACACTTCCTCCCAGCTTAGTGTCATCTGCAAACTTATTGAGGCTGCACTCAATCCCCTCATCAAGATGTTGAATAAAAGCAGCCCCAGTACCGAGCCCTGGGGGATACCACTCACGACTGGCCACCAACTGGATTTAACTCCATTGACCACAGCTCTTTGGGTTTGGCCATCCAGCCAGTGTTTCACCCATCGGAGTGTATGCCCATCCAAACCATGTTGGAAGGATCCCATAAGGATCATCAAGTCCTACTACTTGCTCAAAAATCAAGCCATATGTCTGAGAGCATTGTCCAGATGGTTCTTGAGCTCCAGCAAGCTTGGTGCCATGACCGCTTCCTACGGGAGGTTGTTCCAGTGCCTGACCACCCTCTCAATGGAGTACCTTCTCCTGACATCCATCCAGAATTTCCCCTGTCACAGCTTCATGCTGTTACCTCAGGTTCTCATTGGTCACCAGAGAGGTGAGATCAGGACCTGCCCTTCTGCTCCCCCTTGTGAGGAAGCCATAGGTTACAAGTTCTTCCCTCAGTCTCCTCCAGACTGAACACACCACACCAAAGGATCTCAGCTGCTCCTGATATATCTTCCCCTCTAGAACCTTCACCATCTTTGTAGCTTTCCTTTGAACATTCTCTAATAGTTTTATGTCCTTGAATTGTCCTTTTGTATTCCCAGTTACCTGTTGCTTACAAAAGTAAAAGCTAACTTTAGTGACTTTCATGTTAAATCAGAATTTTCTCATCTTCACTGTGTTTTTCTATCTGGAACTAGATTAACTGTATCTATCTAAGGCAAAAGTCACTGATTTGAAATTTATTTTTAGTAGCAGAAAAAAAAGCATGTGGAACCTAGTCCATACCCTTAAGTAACACAGCTGTGGCATGTGCAGCTTGTCTGTGTGGGACTGCTTTCTGTACTGCAGCTGGAGGAAGCAGTGTAACACAGATACCACCTTTAAATGTTCACGTCTCTGATGCCAACATTTGTTTAAAAAAGGTTAATTGCAGACAGTCATATGCTAAATTAGTTACATCACAAGAAATGTCAGTAGTACTAGGTAACTTTGGATTAATGATAGAACTGAACAGGTATGCCAGAGCAATTTTTTTAAGGAGACAGCACAGTTATTTTTTATTATAAACTGCTGAAGTGTGATGTGTTATTTTTTCTTCTACAACTCTGTAAAAAAGGCGTACTTACCACTCCACACTGCATTTTTAAAGTAAGTGAAGCCTTCAAGATGTTTTAAATTTAATGAGATGTTCGTTAGTGTTGAGCATTTGAAAATAGCACTGCTTATTGTATTAAACTGTCTAGTAGATGGGTTTCCTGGTGGGTAAGGGCACAGCAATGCTTACTTAGCATAAGAACCTCCAAGTTTAAATAGCTTGTTTGCTTTATAATCTGCATCTACGGTTAGAGTTGGTTACTGCTTTAGCGGACTAATGAGCAAGTTTCACTGGTATATTTTGTCATGAGAGATGCACTGGAATTTGTTCTTTTTTCTTGCTCTGCAGCCCAACATTCTGCTCAGTCAACACTGAGCTGTTATATAGTTTGGATAAATGCCCCATTTGTGTTGGTCTCAACACTTATGAGAAATAAATAGTGCTAGGGTTTTTGGTAACCTAGTTGAATCTTTACAAGATTGATATAGGAAATTTGCTTACTTATTTTTCTCTGCTCTTTTTATAAATTTGCTATAGAAGTGCCTTCAGAGGGCACTCAAAACTCCAAACTTATTTTAGATGGCTGATGTATGTCTCTGTAATGACCTGGAACAACAGCAAAAAAATAACAATAATTAAATACAAAGGGAAAAAACAATAAGCAAAGAGAATCAAACCTCTGAAATTTTTCTGTTCTTAGTACCTGGTGTTCTGCTCCTCAACAGCTTTAGGAAAGGCCCATATTGCACTGATCTCATGTG